CTCTCTCTCTCTCTCTCTCTCTCTCTCTCTCTCTCTCTCTCTCTCACACACACACACACACACACACACACACACACACACACATTTCTTAAACAGCATGGCCAATAATAATAATTAAGTCCAATACATCTGAAAGGTACCAGACTGACAGAAAGCTCATTAAGAGGACTTATACAATTAAAAGAAAAGGTACCTGCAAGAACTCTTTTTTTTCTACTGCTTGTCTCAATTCCTGATGATTTTTCCACAATGTAAATAAGTAGCTTCAGTCTAACTGAAAACATTCAGTTAATTAGATTTCTCTTAAACTTATTACAAGAGTAGAATCAGCATGTGGTCTGCAGAGCTCGTGGGATTTGGAAAAGCACATCCAGCCTCTCTACATATTCCAATAATCAGTATGTTAAAAAAACTGGGTAATAATTTTATGATTATACCCACATTGCATGCACACACGGACAGATGCGTGCACATACAGGGCCAAAACCATGAGGAAATGTAGCCATTTTTTTATTCCCTTTATAACCCAGTTTGCAATTTGTTTACTTGAGAGTTGACTTTCAATATTAGGGTTGAATATTTTAATTACACAAGCATAAGGGTTTGTAACCTTTTTGGCTTGAAGGATAGACCATCTGAAAGTAGCATGTGGAGAGTCACACTCCAAAAATGGACATGCTCCAAAACCTAAGCAGGAAACTGAGAAATTCTGACAAAGAATGGGAAAAATAAAGCAAAGAAAGAAGCTTTATTCATACTGGTTGTCTTTTTTTTTAAAGGATGCTAACAATTTGAAATACTTCCAGACTGCATCAGCCTATATACATTTTGCCGCTAGGACTGAGAAATGAAAGCTAGCAAGTGCCATTGAGACAGAACTAGAAAAGTGGCTACCATCCTGATGAAAGAGATACAGGAGGTATGAAGATATTGGACTAAGAAGAAGACACTTCTTCACTTCACAGTACCCTGCTAATCATGCAATAGCAGCCACATAAGGACTAAAAACTAGGATGGAGATAAGGCGCAAACAACCTCTGTCCCAACATCCTGAAATCCTTTATTGCTCTTTAAATTGACACATACGAAAATGGGGTTTTTTAAAGCACAGAATTGAGCATATTGAAGGACTCCAACCGATCCCACTGAGGCTGCCTGTTTTTCGCTATGTCTAGAGCTAAACAGAGTTGCTGAGGCTTTGTCGGTTTTCTGCTTCTGGTCGTGCTACAATGTGATGACTGGCTATAAAGGGGTTTTTTCAAAATAAATATTCCAACAGTGCAGGGAATCCTGTTCTGGCAATTCTACAAAAGAAGGGTTTTAACTGTCCTTTCACTCACTATCAGAAACTGGGTGGTGGTGGTGGTGGTGGTGTGGTGTAGCTCAGATCCAGTCCCAAACCATAAACCCAAATACTCCTTTAAGTGGCTCACTTCAGATGCAAAAAGGAAAAGAAAAAAGGGAGGTATTGATAAACCTTAGGAAACTTCTTCCTGCGATTATTCCATTCCAGCTTATTCAAGTCTGCACTGAAATTCAGTACCCAATAGCAAAGACGAGATCCAGGTTTATTTAGCAAAGACTAACAATGTAAACTTTATGGAGAAAGGGAGCTAGTGGATTCTGCTTTATGTCCTTTAAATCATAGTGTTATTGTTCACTTCGGTTTAATATGCAGTGTGAACCCAGCTACTGTAGTTTCTAAATACTTTATGTTTTAATGTAACAGGGGAGCCACCCAACAACATGTTCAACAAATCATGGCTAAAAATAAATGAGGACCCAATCCATTCTTCATCATGTCTGATATGTTTACCTTCTCCCACCAAGTCAAATGAAGCTCATTAGGCTAGCTGAGTGGCCCTTCAAATATCCACAAGGAGCAAAGAATCATGAGTCTCAGGCAGTTTGTTTTTACCCATTTTGATTCCAGAGCTGCTCACTATTCTATCAGACTACCTCACAGGGCTATTGTTAGAAAATAAGAGCAAAACTCAATGAAAGTAATAGGGTTTGCTTTGGTTTCCTATCCATTTACAGCAGCCGTGTAACAAATAATATCTTTAGAAACAACAATCCTGCTCCACTTGTAATGATTTGAAAGGATAAGCTGCAGCAAGGAAAACATACAGCAGACTGTCATAAAGTCAGAGACAGAGCTATAACATCAATGAAAGGCACTGCCCTTTCATTTAAAAAACACATTGTATTTTACAATATTTAAAGAATATCAGGAAACAGAAATAGCCTTTTTCTTTTGATAAGAGAAATATTATTTATGAAATAAAAAAACTTATTTGCTAACTCATAATAAAGTCTATATATCTGGTGAGACAATTTCCTCTAGAAAATGCAGTATCTGTATTTTTTTTTAAAAAATTACAGTATTCTACCTTTCTATCCCACTTTCAATGAGCAATTGGAATCACTGACAAATTCACCAATTAGATGAGAGAGATTAATGTGATGCTAGCAAGGTGACTGAGTTTTGGTATACACTTAGATACATCCATTTAATACATGTAACTGCTATTTTCCACTAGCATTATTCACACACCTGTAGTGCCACACTTTGGACAGTCATGGTCATTACTTTCTAATAATGGGGGAGGGTCTCCAGAGAACAGAAGCAGGTGAAGCAAGCATCCCATAATCAATGAGTGAGGTCTCAGTTATTGCTCCAATATAGCAAACCAAGCTGATATTTTACCAAAGGCTTTAAAAAAAATAAAGCCCACACTAGACTAACAGAAATAGGATTATCAAACCAGCAGTTAGTCAAGTATGCACTAATCAGTGCATTCTTTTCAACAGAAGTGGCAAATTGCTTTGAAAACTTATTTAAAAACTTAGAACGCCTTGTCTATCCTTAAAAATAGGGAAAGATTTACAAAGAATGAAAAATTAAACCCCAAATAACCAGTTTTTAGCAAAATGAGGCTTTTGGAGGAGAATGAAGTTCTAAACAGTGACAGCCCGCCAGCCCAAATGAAGTCCATCAAGATGAGACTGATCTGTAGGAACAGCCTTCTCTCATTTGCTGTTCTACATCTGATATTGAACTATAAATCTGATCACTCCTAAGGAAGCAGAGACATACAGTTGGAAATGATGGGCGGCTTGGTGTTAGAGATGGATACAGTAGGTAATGCAGCAATCCAAAAATTTTGGGGAAAAAAATAGTTTCAGGAGCATTTGACAAAACAGAGCACAATAAAGTGCCCAAAGAAATTAAAACTGGCTTCTCCACAAATGGAGAAACTATGAAGCAAAAGAGGATGAGAAGGCAAATTGAAGCAGCATTCCATGAACTGCATCTAATTAGCGTCCCACTTGTAGGATAGAGAGGTTTCAACTGCTTCTACTCTTAATAAGCCCAGACACCTCAAAAAGCAAGAAAACAGACACAGGCAGTCAAAAGCAAGATTCTATCCTTAGTTGAGTTCACTGGCTCTCCTCTTTAACTTCCAATGTCATCTTTATGACAGTTTCCCCAAAGATAACCCGGAACAAACAGCTGATTGTCAACCCAAGCCTTCTGGGAAAGACTCTCCTAAGAAGAAAGAGTTTGGTTGTTTTTCAGTCCAACCACAAAGCTGACCTAATGATGTGTAAAAATAGATCCATGCATGGTATCCAACCTCTCCTTACACTGAAGTAAAAACACACTGCATGGAGTGTGGAGCTCCAGCTTCTTCACATTTTTATGTGCAGCACTGTGGCCTAAAATCATTTTAGAAAGGGGCAGAAAAGTCCAAGAGTCTTCCCACTATTGGGAAGAAAGATTTCCCCAATGCATCCATCTGTCAAGAAATTCTAATTAGTCCAACCTCTTGCAGGCATAAAATCACCCTTTAGGAGAAACCAACTGTCCCTTCCTCCCTCGCTCAATACCACTTGTCAAGAAATCAAACTTCAGCCTTTGCCAGCTTCTGCAGCAAGGAAGGTAGAAGGAAACCCCTACTTCTCTTTTAACCTATTCTGAAGGTGGGAAATTGTTAGAAAAGTCAAGGCCTTAAGTCTATTCTGAGTAAAAATGGGGAGGGGGGTTGGCTTGTGTGAAGATGTCCAGGATGTGTTTTATCACTTTCACAACCCTCCCCGAAATTAGAGCTTTCTCAAGTATCTTTTGTTAGAGGAGAAAAAAAATCTAAAGGCATCCAGAGGTTTTATCTTCTTCATGTGTTTTTCCCAGTTTTGCAAATTGCCAGCCCAAAGAAAAAAGGCATCAATTCTACAGAGGATATTTTGGAGGGGGGTGCATTCATTCTTCCCTCTCGTTCACACCCATCCTGGGAAAGAAATTACCCTTCGAAAATTGTTGCTCCGATGCCCTATCCTTGCAAACTTTAAGTCTGGAGGAGAAGCAAAAAACGTACCAAAAACTGCCAAGGAAGCTCACCCAGCTTCCCTTATAAACAAGAAAAGACCCCTGGATTCTCCATTCCACCGCTCTCTCCCTTGGAAGGAAAAAAAATATGCACGTAAAGAGTAAAATAAAAAATGATGGGTCATCCGTTGGTCGTGGGGAAGGAAGAGATGCGGCCAGCCCCGACGCACACATTTACGGCCACCCCACATACTTCCCCCCCACCCCAAACTTAAAACGTCTCCCTCCAACCCCACTTACCGGTGGCTGTTGTTGCCAAAACCCCCACCGAGAGCAGTAAAATCCGGCTCCAATAGCTCACTTCCACCGTCATGAGAGCAAAAATCCCCAATTTCCCCCAATTCCGTTTAAAGCTGCAGCGGCATGCCGGCTTGTCCCAACCGAAAGAGGATTGCATGTCAAACAGGAGCTGGGGGGCTGATTCGCTTGGAAGAGAAGGAGGGAACAGGAGGAGGAGGGGGGAGAGAGAGAGGTGGGTGATTGGTCTGGATTCCTCTTCCTTTTCACCCCCCCCCTCCTCCTTTCTTTGATCAGTGGAAGAATCTAACGGAGGAGGAGATGGAAGTCTCCGACTTGGGGGTTCTGGAGGATGGCCCTTCTTTAATCTTATGCACATATATAAGATTAATACAATAAGGTGGGGTGGCGGTTGTTGTTTTTTTTCCCCTCCAGGAGGGAAATATCCGAATGTATGGGCAGCCTCTGTGCTTCCTCCTCCCAGCTGCAGCAGCTGGACTAAACCAAATCACGCAAGAGCTTGGGGAGAGAACTGGTACCCTATCCACCCCCTCCCCGTTCCCTTCCTTCCCCGCTTTCCTTTTAATATCATCATCATTATTATATACTTTTAAGTACTGTCTTGGATTATCGGAAACTCCTCAGAGAATTATACTTCTAAATCCACGGTGATTAATCATTGATTTACCCTGGAGAGATTTTTTTAAAAAATGATCTGCCTTTGGGAAAAAAAATAAAACACAAATAAAATGCTAAATTAGAAACACGTGTGTGTTGTGTGTGTGCGCGCAGGGGGGGGGAGTTCAATCTGGAGGGGTTGCTAAGAGGCTTCTATCATTCTTCTCTCCCCCCCCCCCAACACACACACCCCACCCGCCGCCTGTCTTTCCACCCAATAGAAGCAAATTAACCTTACATCCACCTTGCGGGAGATGGATGGTGCAAAAAAATCTCTCTCACTGCCGCCTTTTAAAATGCTTGTTTATTTTATGTTGGTGTCAATGTATCTTCCGCCTCCACCGCTTCTGGCGGAACCCGGAGGAAAAGGGACCAGAGCCAACGCGTGTATACCAACACGAAACTGAAGAGAAACTCCCTGGGTGAACGCAGCTCTGCATTTGAGACAATTGCAGCAGGTTGTAAAACAAAAGCTTCAAACTCCAAGTTCCCAGCACTACAAACTAATTTTATTTTTTGGCTGTTTAATCTTTCCGCAAATGTTCAAATAAGTCACCAAGAGGTTCGGCCCCATCTTTAAAATTTACTGGAAAGGGAGTTGAGGGTGTAATTCTTGAGATCTGCACTGCTTGCTTCCCTACCTACCAGCATCTCAAGACTTAACGCTCCAGCCTTTTCAATACCGGCGCAAGCAGCAGAAATCGCTGCGGAAAGGGAAGGCGGGCGGGCGGGCAGTAAGAAGGTGCTCCCCAAATCTCTTTCGCTCCGCTCGCTGAGGCGCCCCATCCCTCTCTCTGCTCAAAGAGGGGTCGTTGAACGAAACCGCTGCGGAGTGCTTGGTTTGCTTTGGGGGGTGGGCAGAGGTGAAAAAGATCGCATCGTGAATGGAGTTTCCTCTCACCTTCCCCGCCCCCCCTCCCGCCCTGGTTTGAATTTGATTCCAGCGCTCTTTCTATAGAGACCCTCGGAATCCAACGCGCCTTTTGCAGCGGCCTTTCCGTGGGGAGATAGTCCAGCCACTCAGGCAAGTTCGGATGAGGAAAATGAGATTCCCCCCCCCCATATCTAGACCAGGGTTTCTCAACCTTTTTTTGGCCATGCCTCACCTAAGCATCTCTAAAAATCACACACACCCCCAACGGCTCACACACACATATAATTCTTACTATACTCAAAAAGTGAACTCTATTCAAGCGGAGCAAGCCTAAAGGGCCATTAATTTGGTTTAAACAAGGTTCAACTTCCCCCCCCCCCCCGGGCCGTGGGGCCCAAGTTGGGAACCACTGGGCTAGACTCTCCTGTTATTCGAATACTGTTCTTGTTCAACTTGGACAGAGTGGGAGATTAATGTGAATTCGGATGGAGAGGGAGGAATGAACGTGTGACAGAAGGGGCTCAAAATCATTTTCAGAGAAGTGAGTTATAAATGAGGGGCACTCTTTTGCAGAGAATCTGCCTGTTAGCTGATGCTCCTGAAAAGATACCAGCATGGGCAAAGATTGGGGAACACCAGCCTCCCTCCTTCTTGCGTTCTTGGCTAGTTCCACAATTCATTGAAGCCATGCTGATGGGAAGACCCAGGAGGCTAAGCAGCACCTGGTAGCTCTCAGAGGATGTCTGGACTAAGTGATGGAAAGGGGATTTACTGTTGTTGGTTGTCTGACCCATCACAACCCCATGGACAACATTCCTCCAGGCCTTTCTGTCCTCTACCATCCCCTGGAGTCCATTTAAGCTCACACCTACTGCTTCTGGTGACGCCATCCAGCCATCTCGTTCTCTGCTATCTCCTTTTGTCCTCAATCTTTCCCAGCAACAGGCTCTTCTCCAGGGAGTCCTTCCTTCTCATTAGGTGGCCAAAGTATTTGAGTTTCCTCTTCAGGATCTGGTCTTCTAAAGAGCAGTCAGGGTTGATCTCCTCTAGGACTGACCAGTTTGATCACCTTGCAGTCCAAGTGCTCGCAGGAGTCTTCTCCAGCACCAGAGTTCAAAGGCCTCCATTCTTTGGCTCTCAGCCTTCCTTATGGTCCAACTTTCA